CTTCTTTCAGTAGGATTCCAACCGACGATCACCACTGACAAGTGGCTATAAATTTGGTAATTTTGATGAACTTTATTTTAAGTTTGATACATTTTTTTGGATTTTATGCCAGCTTTTATTTATATGGTTTCTGTTATGGATTGAATTTTTTTTTAAATTAAATTATTAAAGATATTTAATAAACATAAGTTGCAAATACTTAATATCATTTTTAAATACGTTGCTAATTAGTTGAACGCGGGTGTATGTATGTAGAAATGTAAGCCTAAGGGTGCCCGCAGACGTGATGTTGTCATGGCCTTAAAGCGTCCGACAAACTAAAACCAGCAGTGAGCGACCGCTCACCATCTTGGTCACTGCGGCTTGTGCTTGGGAGCTTGCGTTTGCTCAAGCGCACAAAGCCCAAACATACAATACTATTACTTCATGCAAGTTAAGCACGATTGTTTTTCGATTTTGTTTAGTGTGTAATTGTGTTGCCGTTGGTGTGTAGGATTGCTAGTTCGCTGTTCCCTTTGCTTCGCTATGCGTTTTATTATTTTGCTGTTTTGTCGTTGCTGATGTGATCAATTCTTTAAACTTTTAGCTTGAACACTTGGAAGGCAACGTCCCTTTCGTTGTTCGGATATACCTACTCCACTCACGACGGTTAGTCTTTTTAAATTATTTATAATCATGTATTCTTTTCTCACTTTTTCTTCGACATTTACTTTCGCCTTACCAATAACTTCTCTTTCGAAGATAGCGTTTTCGTGAAAAATGTTAAAACACGCTACGCAAACCACTATGTATCCCAAACAGCTGAATCTGTGAGGCAGGTGTAAACGAAATTGATTACAATATTTTTCTTTTTAAGCTAAAGAAGTGTTTGCATTGTTCAACTTTGCGTTCAACTTAACGCAGGGTAGCACGAAAAAGAGTGGAATGGCTAAATGTTGGCTGGCGACCAACTTTTTTTAAAGCGAATAGTTGAACGGCCGTTCCACCAAAAGTTGAATGCAAAGCGAACAATACAAACGCCTTTTTATGGCGAATATTTTAATATTTTTTCATATTTTGATATTTTTAGCCTTTCAACTTTTTTTCTGTGCAACCCTGCGTTGAGTTCAACGCAAATTTGGAACGCAAAGTTAAACAATGCAAACACTACTTAAAGGAAATGTATTGTACAATTTACATTTAGCAGCCCATAAAATTATATAATTAAATAAATGTTGACAGACGATTTGCTCCAAATTCCTCTGAAACTNTGTTGAATGCAAAGCGAACAATACAAACGCCTTTTTATGGCGAATATTTTAATATTTTTTCATATTTTGATATTGTTAGCCTTTCAACTTTTTTTCTCTGCAACCCTGCGTTGAGTTCAACGCAAATTTGGAACGCAAAGTTAAACAATGCAAACACTAGTTAAAGGAAATGTATTGTACAGTTTAATAAAGGGATTTACAGCAATAATTAAATAAATGTTGACAGACGATTTGCTCCAAATTCCTCTGAAACTTAGCTTATAATATTGTTGTTGGTGAACGCTAGAGTGACAGCCCTTGGCCAGAAAAGTCTGGGACTATAGGTAGCTTTCCGCATTTAAACGGGGTGATAGGCTTACAAAAGTTATAATAATAGAAAAAAGAATAACAACAAAATTTTTCAATCCAATTACAAACTCAATAAACGAGTAAGAAACAAACAATTAATCATGATAAAAGCATAGTAAGGTAAAACCGTTCTCTCAATGCGCCGGCCATGATTTTATTTTTTTTGAAGTTTCCCAACATTTTAAAGTCGTATAAAATTGAGAGTAAAAAAAGGAATTGTTCAAAGTTTTTGTTGTTTGAGATTGAAAATGAAAATGTGTGTGTGAGTTTGTGTGTAAAATTTTAATTTTTCTTTGTATTTGGACGTTATGCAATGCATTCTATTTTAATTTAAATGAGCAAGCTGCAAGAGGCTGAAAATTAACGTGCTTCAAGTTAGCACTACACTTTTCGAATTTGGAAAAGTTAACTACGGCATTAATTGTAGTGTTTTTGTTGTAAATTTGTTGTGGAAAGAAAAAATTTGTAGCTCTCGTTTTTTAAGAAAAAATGGTATGTAGTGCTAACTTGACACCATACACCTAGTCGATAGAATTGAGATATCGGAAATGTTATAACGGCATTAATTGTAGCTTTTAACTTTAGAATTTGTTGTGGAAAGAAAAAATTTGTAGCTTTCGTTTTTTAAGAAAAAATGTTGTGTAGTGCTAACTTGACTTGTTTTTTGTTATTATATGAACTACATTTTTACAAAAAACCAGCGAAAAATTGAATAAAAAACTCTGTTTACTTACTTTGTGAAAGTTTCTATGTGCCAATACTTTTGTTCGGCACTGTATGTATATTTATTTGCATTGTTAAATAAATTAAACTCATGATAAAAACATTTAATATTTCTATCGTTTTTTTTTAATTTCCGAGCCGAAACTCCGGCCAAACAACAACAAACCCGTTTTGGAGAACCAATCCAAACGTGGAAAATCGGTTCAAACCTCTTAACCGAACCGACCAAATTTTACATCTGGCTCATGTCCCTTTTAATTTGACTGGATTTTTGTGCAAATAAAAGGAAATTAGAAGAAAAAAATTCGAAAACTACCTATTTGTACCAATTTGTATTTGCCAAATCCTTGTGAGATGTAAGGGCCTTTTATTGGCTGGCGCCAAAACTTGCAAGAAACTCGAAAATTAGAGGAAATTGAGGAGCCAAAATGACTGCTGAGCTTGCAAGATTTACTGGATTTTTACAGTATGAATTTATACAGTAATGGCCTTATTAAAAAAAATAAAGTAGGTTTAAAGAGCTTTATAAATTGACGTTTTCATACATTTTTCAATTTATAAACCTTTTATAAAGCTAGTATAGTTTTTATAAATAAGGCCATAAGTATTTACCAGTAAGAAAAACCGCTGATGGCATGATGATGTGTGCAATTCGCACTAATAAAAGAATTGTTTGTGGGGCTTTTATACCATAGGTATTATAGATTCTGATTAGAAATCAACTCAATTTAGATATTCCCCACTAGAATTATATTCGTTTGGAAGTTCAAGTAGCATGCATACATATGTATTTATACATGCATATATACATTACAGGTAAAGACATTCAGAGGATAATTCATTAAGTGGAACAGTCACATCAAGTTTCTCTCTCAGATTTTATTCTGGAATAGGTACATTGACACAGCTTTACGAAAATAAGCAATTTATTCCACTTTAGGCCTTTTTTGAAACATTTAAACATTATACCAGTTTTCCAGCTTTGTCGTCCTTAATAATAAACTACTTTATGGTCTCAATTTAGAATTTTATATGGAGGGAGTTAGAATTATGCGGGATAACGAAACATATGAGGAAAGTTTTAAAAAGTGCCTCATTAGTGATATGCCTTTTAGTTTTTTAGGGTATAGTGTTTTATCAGCACCTAGGTGAAACAAAATTTCCAACAATTATCGATTTCCGGCCGCATGCGGAAATACAACCGGATGCGCCACATTGAGCTGCTCCGCAAGTTGTACCAATACCCGCTTGCAAAGCCCGCAGACGAGCACATAGTATGTATATATAAGTACATACATACATATATTCGTGTGCATACATATGTATGCGCGCTTAACGACGTCGGAACATGCTAGCAGATTGTAAATTTACTTACCCGCTTCTCGGCGCTATCGCAGGGATTCCCAAATGACGATGCTGAAAAGGAGGACGTAGAAGCTGTGGCAGCATTGCCGATACCGACGAGCTGTTCCGGTGCAGCTACCTCGGGCATTGCCGTATCCATTTGTTCTTGTTTTATAAGCGGCATGAGCGGAACGAAGTCCGTTTTGGCGATACCTTCAAGCTCCTCGAACTCCATGGCCATTTATATGAGGCAAGAGTTGGAGTCACAAGTAATTTGCGAGTTTACAGGAGAAAAAACGTTATTACACGATCAGATATATACTCGATATTATATTCTAAACGTTGTGTAGATATCCAATTATAAAGATTTTTCAGCTGCTGCTGTTTCCGGGGTCAGACGCGTGCATTAACATTTTGGACTGTGTATTTTTAGTGAATAAAAAACTTAGCAAACACTTTTATGTTTCTCTTTCTACTCACTTCACGGTTTTTGCATATAATATTTAAGTGCACGTTCTCTTGTCTGCTTTCACTTTTTTCCTTTTTACAGCAGACCTTAATTTTCACGTACACACCTCGTTTCTTGCTTTACTTCACAAACGAAAATTTTCACCGAGATAATTTGCCCACTTTTCCGTAACCAATCTAGCATTCAAATTATCTAGAATTACACATTATTCGATATTCTTTTCATCAAAACTTGTTTTTAGTAGTTTTCACAGTTTTTTTTTTGATTTTAATTACTTAATTGTTTAAGGGAAAATACTTAAAACCCCAAACCGTATATCGAACTTTTCTCGGACGCTTCTTCTCTGTACAGAAATTTTACTTTTTTGTTGGGGTCGGCCATTTTGAATTTTACTGGCGCAGGGTTGCATGAGATGTGAACAATGTAAATAAAATCCATGAACGAAAGACACAAGATCACGTAAGAACAAGAGAGTGAAAAAAGTCGATTTTTTAGCGGGTTCTACGCCATCTTGTTTCACTGGAAAACGAGCGAAAAGTAAACAAAGCAAAGAAAACAACGAAAACCAAAATTAGCCAAAACTATTGTCAGCCACTTTAAACGCACAATTTAGGTAAAATAATGCAACAAAATGCTTTAAAATGTGTTGTCATATTGAATTAACTCTTCTTTATTTGAATAAAAGTGTAAAATAGTGGTGCCTGTGATGTAAACAAACGCTCAGCTGGCGAACCCGCTTTCGCAAACTTTTTTCTCAAAACCAGTTACAAATACAACGTCGCGTTCTTACGTGATCTTGTATTTTTGGTTCATGAATAAAATCAACATTCCTCGATTCATATTTTATGTGGTCAATATGAATTCTTGGGTAATGGTTTTTAATAATCGAAACAACTTCACCATTTAACTAATTACTTATTATAATACATACGATTAATGTATCTCTGAAGTATTTACTTTTATGGTGCAACTCTGAGAGAACTATTTCAAGCAACTCTGATTTATGACTTTTCTTTTGTGTTACTGTTCAGTATTCTATTGAGTATTTTTTCACTAAAAGAAAGTAGTAGTATTACATCATGATCCAACTACACAAGATCTGACAAGATGAAGCAAAAGAAAAAAGTAATTTTCTGGCCGACGTTTGTAATTCCGCCGCCATGTTATTTTCTGTGAAAAGTAAACAAAGAATATGAAGACGACGCATAAAGAAATATGTTGTGCACATATTTGTGCTAACCAATTTGTTATTTTTGTACGTGTTTTTGCATCCAATCACCGCGCACTTCATTTTAATTACATTTGCACAAAAAATCACTTAAAAATCACTGAAATAAACCACGAACAAAATACACATAAATGTTGAATTTGCGTAAATATTCTTTATCCAAATAATGTAATAATAAACAAATGAAATCTCGATTGGCGATCACTTAAACGCAGCTAGTCACTGTATACGCGAAAAAGCGATGTTGCCACTTTTTCTCATTAAGTTATGGTTTACACCAGACATAATTGTCAAAACAATTATGCCACAATGATGTGTTTGTTGTAAACACGGCGAATTCCTTTAATTGTCTTTACAATATTGTCCGGTGTAAACCCTTAGTAAAACATGTTCGAATCCAAGAATGATAGAATATAGAATGTTCGCTGCACCGTGGTTCGAATCGTGGAAATTTTAGATCACAGGGTTGCTTTTTTCATTTAGATTAGATTCTTAGGGCCTGTGCCAAATGATGGAAAAGAGAAAATTTGACGGATCAAAGCAAAAATCTGACATTTCTCGTGGTGAATAAGAACGTCAGATTTTTACCTAGCTGATGGGGCTAGGGAAAATTTTGACAGCTTATAACCATGTATACACATAATATTCCTTGGCGGTAATAAGGAGTGAACATGAAAATGAAAGCTGAAACAGCATAAAAAAAGCGTACGTTACTTGCAAATTATAAAATAAATATAAATTTTAAGAATTTCGGCAACACACAAAAATAAAGCTTTCGCACGAGCGTTTGTTTGGTTTTTCAACTGTCAAAATTTTACTTCGCATTTGGCACAGCAAAATTCAATTTATTTGTACACCATAGCAAATTTTTCCACCCCGTCTCGTCACGGAGAAAAAAGTTACCGATTGGCACAGGCCCTTAATGCGAAAATAGAGTTGAATTTAGGTGACGAATTATGTATGGATAAATGTAAATTTAAAGTAGCATTTAGAGCTAAATGTAATTTTACTCGTAAGCAAAAACAGCCCATTATGTGTTGGTATAAGCAACTTATTTGACTACTTGATGGCTTTACCAAAAATCTCTAGCTTCGTATCACTGGACTGTTAAATAAACGCTCAAAATGGCCAAATTACAGTCCCTACAAGAACAGTGATAGTCATTTGATTGATCATGTGTAACTCAATGGTGATGGAAATGTCCATCAAACACTACCATCACGTTTTTAAGCCCAATGTGCAAAAAATTATGAAAACAAATATATACATGTGATTTTCTATCTTCTTTCAACATATGACCTTATTTAAGGGTATCTTTTTGGCCAACGCAAAGTTTGCAAATTGTGTTAGTAAGATAAATTAGAATGTGTTAGTTTCCATCACCCAATTCTAGTAGGGGTAAAATTAACTTTATTGTGTTACAAACCATTAAAATAATTGCTAATGCAATTACAAAACTTTACGATACTCGTCAAAGCAATTACAAAATTTGCTAACACAATTCATCACTGTTTTACCACCTAACTCGTAGTCTGCTGATTCGCGACTCAAATGCCTTGTAGCTTACCATCTTGAAACTAACTCACCTTGCTGTAGTAGCGGCCTTATATACCTGCGCCCGCACTCATGGCAACTGTAGAACGTTCTGAAGTTTATCGCTCATTCTTCCGTTCTCTCTCTGTTCGCAGTATTCATCCACTTGACGGTTTTCGCTGTCAAACATTCTACGTCATTACTCGGACATTCTGCCATTTTCTTGTTGTTCGCTTCGGGTTGCCGCAGTATTCGCCACACTGTCCTTCACCTAAATCTGATCATCCCGATCAGACACACGTTCTGCTCCAAACGCTGCAAGTCTTTCCAAGTGGACCACCTTCATCTTGGTTATCGGTCTCCCAACGGTCTGGATTCGATACACTGCGTCATTAAGCCGTTTGACAATCTTATACGGACCTTTCCAGTTACGTCCTTGTTTGTAGGTGAAGCCTTTCTCACGCTGCGGCTTGTACATCAACACAAAATCACCTTCCTGGAAACCCTCTCGGCTCGATGCGCTATTGGGCATTGCTTTCAGCTTAGCTCCGGGAGTGCACCATCTCACATAGACCTGCTTCTGCCGGCCACTGGTGGTGACCAGACCATGTCCTGCTCATGGGCACCTTTTCGTTGGATTTATTCCGCTTCCTCTGTCAATGACTACCAGGCCTCGATCCTCGAGTTGCTTTGCGTTTAGCACATCCTCCTAAATCCGTATCCTCACGCTGAAACTTACCTACTGTTTCCGCATCACGCTCTTCAGCCGACGTCAACTTCATTTACCGGACATGTATAACCTCAATCTTGGCCTCCGACTTTACTGCTTGCCTTTGCTTCCTTTGCAAAGCGTGATTTTTTCCTGGATACATCGAAGAGCTCCTACTGTTTTCACAGCCGCCTCCATTTCCGGGTACCGGCGTATTACCGTTGCAACGCGGTTCAGTGGTTCCATTCCTGTCGGAAACACTGCCTCTTTTTTACTGAGTTGGCGGAACCTTTACGCTTTTCCTGCATCGGTGAACCGCTTCCTTCTCCTGACGAAACTAGTCCATATCCATCAATGCCAACCTCTGTCCAACTAACCACTTCCGCTGCTGGTGGAATCTTCGGCACTTCCTCTAAGACCAAAAGTCTGCTGTCGTACTGGTTGTCGTAGCCAACCCCAAGTAGCACCTTTCTGTCGCGATATGTCAGGATCATTCCCTGGAGGCCAATCCTCATGCCTTGGCTAAGTAGGAAGTCCACGCCGATGATGACTGGATTGACAATGTCTGCCACTATAAACTTGGTGTACGAGGCCACGCCCCCGATTATTACCTTGATGGTACTTCTCCTATTGGTTGATTGATTGCTGCAGGTAGTGGCTTCACATAAAAAGTGGCCAAATCAGGTGGCGGTCCAGTATCCACTGTCAGCACTCGCGCTTACCTATTCACACATCCACCAACAGTGAGGTTGCTCGCTTTCCGGCTACTTTGAAAGACGGAGATTATGGGGCATTAAATTGCGAGAGCCAGCGCGCACCCTTTTCTGCTGGCGTGTTTTAGTTTAACGACTGACCGGAGTTAGGCTCGTCTTCCTCAGCCCTGCGTTTTCATATTGCTGAACTGTTAGACCTTATTAAATTCGCATGCACCATTCCAGCACCATCCTTTCACTCGGTGGCACCAGTACTCTTCCTGCCATCGACTTGAGTGTTTTCAGAATCGCGTTCATCAATGTCAAGTGTCTCCACTTCTACTCGGTGGGCTTTGTAGGCTGGTCTACTTAGGAGCCCCGCCGTTTCACGTGTCTGAACATACGGGACAGTTTCAGCAAATGTTGGCTTTGGATTCGCCTACGTCTCTCACTTGGTGTACATGTCCCGTATTCCGCTGATGAACCTCTGGATTTTTACCATTTCGAGGTGCTCACCAAATTACCAAATGAGCCAACTTCTCGATCTCAGAGGCGAATTCCTGTAGAGACTCGTGGCCATTTTGGTAATGATTCTCCAGCTCCATCTGGTTTGCTTCCTGTGCTCTCCACTATAACACCTTTCCACAGAACCCATCAATGCATCGTAGTTGTTCCTTTCACAGTCAGGAATAGTCTGCAATATTTCCGCTGCCGGTCTTTTCAATGCAACAAATAACACAACGGATTTATTTTCCACGCTCTAACGATTTGCTGTAGCCATCTTCTCGAATTGGAGCTTAAAGACTGGAAAGGAGTAGTGCCGACAAAGGATGAAGTATTTACCTTAAGTGCGCTCGTCGAAGTAGCTGGATGATTAATCTGCAAATTACGGAGGCGACCTTCCAACTCTTCTACCTTGTCCTGTCTGTCTTCGATTTTATCCTGTATTTGCATAATCTTTGCATCCCGTGCTATCAACTGGGATGATATACGCGCCTCTTGTGCTTGTAGTTGGGGTTCTAGCCGTGATGACACCTGCGCGGATGCCTGTGCCGACAGCTCCGAACTTTGTGCTTCAAGCTATATGTTTGCATCTGTGACATGGCAGCTAATAACATGTTCATGTCCATAGCTGTTGAGGAACTAGGAGCCTTTTGCTGTTCTTCAACCTTCCTGGATGTCTGATGCACATCCTACGACGAACAAGTAGCAT